GTGTGACACAGAGTGTTGGACTGGGTGGGCCACTGGCCTGACCCAACATGGCTTCTCTTATGTTCTTATGTCTGGGGCAAGGGATGCTCTGTATTCTTGCTGCTTGGGGGTAAAGAGTGTGAGGGCCCCACTGGAGTCCTGGCCCCACTGGCAGACCTCCGGAAGGCCCCTGGGTTTTGGCCACTGTGTGACACAGAGTGTTGGACTGGATGGGCCTGATCCAGCATGGCATCTCCTGTGTTCCTAAATAGAGAGTCTCGCTTTTGAGGCAGGCGGAGCCAGGCTGTGGAAGCTGTTTGTCCTGCCAGGAGTCAGCCTGAGAACTAGGACTGGCAAACCCAGGTTGGGAAATTCCAGGAGATTTTAGAGTGGAGCCTGGGGAAGACGGGTGAAAAGTACGCAGGCGGAGAGTGATTTCAGCAAAGCGTACTTTATTTGATCAGGAACAAGACAACTTTGGCCGGCTCGCAGGCCGGCTTATATTTTCCCAGAACCCCCCCCCCAAAACCCCCCCCCCCCCACTTCCCAATAGGTTATTTACAGTGGCCGAGAGTCCCATTGGCTTCTCGGCCGGGAACCTAGCCCCCGGATTGGAGCGGGCTAGGATCCGCATAGTCCATTGTCTCTTGGAGCGAAGCTAGACGGTTGTCCCTGGACATGTCTGGACTTGTCAGGACTTGTCAGGACTTGATACACTACAACGAGATTTGGGGAAAGGGAGGGACCTCAGTAAGGATGCGGTGCCACAGAGTCCGCCCTCCAAAGCAGCCATTTTTCTCCGGGGAATCTGATCTCTGTAGTCTGGAGCAATGTTCCCTCTAAGCTGTGGAGTCTTGTGAGCAAAAATTCTATTTTGTGAGCTGCTGGCATTAAAGTTGTGAGCAAGCGATTTGGCCGCTGCATAAATCAGTTTCCTCTGGAGCCGTCTTTCCTGAGCTAAGACAAAAAATTGTGAGCCGGAGGCTAAAAAACTGTGAGCTAGCTCACACTAACTCAGCTTAGGGGGAACACTGGTCTAGAGGCCAGCTGTAATTCTGGGAGATCTCCAGGCCCCACCTGGAAGGTGGCAACCAGTGTTCCCTCTAAGCTGAGTTAGTGTGAGCCGGCGCACAGTTTTTTAGCCTCTAGCTCACAGATTTTTGTCTTAGCTCAGGAAGGAGGGCTCCAGAGCAAACTAATGTATGCAGTAGCCAAATCGCTTGCTCACAACTTTGATGCCTGTAGCTCACAAAGTAGGATTTTTGCTCACAAGACTCCACAGCTTAGAGGGAACATTGGTGGCAACCCGACTTGGGACAGCGTAATTATGTGCAAAGTGTCTTTTGATGGATCCAGGTGGGCAGCCGTGTTTGTCTGAAGCAGCAGAACAAATTTTGAGTCCACTCGCCCTTTTAAGACCGACAAAAGGTTATTCAAGGTATGAGCCTTCCTGTGCACATACACTTCCTCAGATACGTTGAAATGGAAGTTAACAGTTCTTATATATAGGAAAGTGTCTTTTGTTCACTGCCGGGCTAGCTGCTGCAGCAAAATGAAAGAGTCCGGTGTCACCTTGAAAGATGACTAAGGTTTTCTCTGGCAGAAAGGTTGTACATGACATTGGGTTTCGGATCTTTCTGCCTAAATGTCTGTTGCGTGTCGCATGAAGTGGTCAAAACGAAAATCTGCTTCACTGGTTTGAATGAGGAAGAAGAAGAGATTGGGTTTATGCCCCGCCCTTTACTACCCGAAGGAGTCTCAGAGGGGCTTACAAACTCCTTTCCCTTCCCCTCCCCACAACAGACACCCTGTGAGGTTGGTGGGGCTGAGAGAGCTCTGAGAGAGAACTTCTCTTTTTCAAGAACAGCTCTTGTCAGAACTACGGCTTGCCCAAGGTCATCCAGCAGGTGCAAGTGGAAGAGTGGGGAATCAAACCTGGTTCTCCCAGATTAGAGTCTGCGCACTTAACCATGACACCAAACTGGCTCTCAAGGAAGGCTTTTCTTGTCAATTAAAGCTCAGACTACAATGAGGTAGTTATCCTTCAAGGTACCACAGGACTCCTTACTACTGAGCAACGCCTATCAATCTTTTTCATCGAGGTTTCGTGGCCATATAGGTTATCCACCAGACTGTACTTTTCTGCATGACAGGCAGAATTTCACCACATGAACGTTTCCTTGTCTCTGTACCAATGGTCCCTCTAAACTGTGGAGTCTTGTGAACAGAAATTCTACTTTGTGAGCTACTGGCATTAAAGTTGTGAGCGAGCGATTTGGCTACTGCATGAATGAGTTTGCTCTGGAGCCATCCTTCCTGAGCTAAGACAAAAATGTGTGAGCCGGAGGCTAAAAAACTGTGAGCTAGCTCACACTAACTCACCTTAGAGGGAACACTGCTCTGCACCTCTGTGCCTGGAAATGGCTGTACCTGTTGAACTTCTGACTATTGCACAACTTGCTAAAGACTCCGGAATTCAGTGTGGGAAAAGGCAGACTTTGTTAGGTAGGACAGGCCAAGATGGTGCTATTTGAAAAATCATGTTTTTGTCCAGCACCTTTTATGTTGTTGGTGGTGGAAAGTTGATTATATTGATAAAACACCTAAAATTGCTAGGCAGTAGGCATAAAATAGCAGGTTTTATAATAACGGCAAGTATTACTTAAATATTCCAGTCGTTGCACAAAATAACAATAATAATGAGCAGGCAAACACTGTAAATTATAATCATCAACAGCATTGTTTTATGTGCAGACTTCCAGATTATAAAATATTATGGATTTTTAAAAAAAATCTGTTAATTTGCCATTTTTGGAACAATGGCACCCATTTGAGTCTTCATCTGCAACAAGATTAATCCATGTGGGGATATAAAGCCCGCCTTTTTGGCTGTCCAAATCAAACCGTATGTGTGAGGATAGGTACAACAGGTTTTATTTCATCCACCTTGTAATTTTACCTGGAGTCCTGTGTCCAGTTTTGGGCACATTTTAGGAAGGATGTTGACAAGCTCGAGCGTGTCCAGAAGAGGGCAACCAGGATGGTGAGAGGGTTGGAATCCAAGTCTTATGAGGAAAGGCTGAAAGAGTTGGGTCTGTTTAGCCTGGGAAAGAGAAGGCTTAGAGGGGACATGATTGCAGTCTTCAAGTATCTGAAGGGCTGTCTTGTAGAAGATGGAGCCGATCTATTCTCTCTTGCTCCGGACTGCAAGACTAGATCTAATGGGTGGAAATTACAAGGGAGTCGATACCGGCTAAATATCAGGAGGAACTTTCTTAACTGTAAGAGTGGTTGAGCAGTGGAACAGTCTGCCTCGGGAGGTGGTGGATGCTCCTTCGTTGGACGTTTTCAAGCGGAGGCTGGACGACCATCTTTCGGGTATGTAGGTATGTAGGGCTATCTTTCAGCTGTGCTCCTGCACAGTGCAGGGGGTTGGACTAGATGACCTGCAAGGTCCCTTCCAACTCTAACTTTCTATGATTCTAACAACAACAAAAAATGCCATATTTAATTTTTTAAGAAATTATCAGTAGTAGCATTATGACCCATTGAGAAAGGAGGACTATGAGAGCCAGTGTGGTGTAGATAAGTGTGGTTTAGATAAGCATATGGAGCAGAGGTCCATCAGTGGCTATTAGCCACAAGGTATAGATAGGGGCTCTGGGGCAAGTGATGCTCTGTCTTCTTGGTGCTTGGGGGGGGGTCAACAGTGGGAGGGCTTCTAATGTCCTGGCCCCACTGGTGGACCTCCTGATGGCACTGGTATTTCTGGCCACTGTGTGATACAGAGTGTTGGACTGGATGGGCCTTTGGCCTGATCCAACATTGGCATCTCTTATGTTCTTATGTAGCAGTTAAGAGTTTTGGATTAGTATCTGAAAGACTCGGGTTCGAATCCCCCCTGCCATGGGCGCTCACTGGGTGATCTTGACCAATCACCCACTCTCAGCCTAACCTACCTCACAGGGTTGTTGTGAGGATAAAACGGAGGCAAAGAGAACAGTGTAAGCCGCTTTGGGTCTCCCTTGGGGAGATAGGGGAGGTAACAATGAATTTAAATTAATTAATCAGTTAAAAATAAATACAGCAAAGAAATAGTTGTCCGCTATTACTGTATTTAGAATAAATATTAGTAATGAATTGGATTAATAAATAAAAATACAGCAAAGAAGTAGTCGTCCACTCCTATTGTAATTGGAATAAATATTAGAAATAGATTTAAATAATGAATTTAAAATAAATACAGCAAACCAACAGCTGTCCACTCTTATTGTAATTAGAATAACTATTAATAACAGGTTTAAATAATTCAAAATAAACACAGCAAAGAAATAGTCCGCTCTTACTGTGATTAGAATAAATATTAGTAATGAATTTAATAATAAAAATACAGCAAAAGGAATAGTCGTCCACTCTTATTGTAATTGGAATAAATAGTAGAAATAGATTTAAATAATTCATTAATTAAAAATGAATCCAGCAAACCAACAGCTGTCCACTCTTATTGTAATTAGAACAAATATTACTAGTAACAGCTCTAAATCATTAAAACTAAACACAGCAAAGAAACAGTTGTCCACTCTTATTGTTATTACAGTAAACATCCGTCATGGGAAATTAAAAGTACTATTATGAGTATTGCTACTATTGAAGTATTAATCATTCATTCTTAGTAATAATACAATAAAAAGCCTCCTTCTCCGCCAAAGGGGCGAGGCCTAGTCCTGGTTGCCAAGGAGGCCGCCTCCCGGTTGCTAAGGACTCCTTCCCGCCCCGCCCCCTCCGCGCCAAACCCGGCGGCCATTTTTCTTGCCCTTTTCCTTGTTTTCCCGCCCATTCCTCTCCCGTGCGGGCTCGCCGGCTAGGCCACGCCTCCTGGGCGGGGCGGAGGGGGCGTGGCGACGGGGCGAGCGGCGATGGCAGGGAGGGGCCGGCCCGCCTCGAGCGCGAGCCAATGGGAAGCGCCGGGGGCGGGGCCTCGGCTCGGGGCTCAGGTAACAGGTTGCGCCCTAGAGTGGAGGAGGACAGAAGGTGCGGGGAGCGGCCGCCGAGCGGAAGGAGGCGAGGTGAGTGGGTTGCAAAGCCCCACTTTTTTTTTTCTCCTTACGCAAAGTAGTCCCTCCACTCCAGGTACCCCCCACCCCAAGCATTGCCCCCCAGGTGGGGGTGGCCGGGTGCACCCGCTGGGCAGTGCCCACTGCTCATATTCCCCTCCAGGTGGGGGGGGGGAGAGGATTCTATGTGAAGCCTGTGCCCTGACAGCCCCCCCATGAGAAAATCTCCAGCTGTGTGTGGTTTATTGCGTGCCCCCATGGGCTGCACGACCCTAGGGGAGGGTTTTTTAAATGCCCCTTTTCTGATGCTCCGTTCCCTCCTTCCATATGCGTCCCCCCCAGCCAATGTTCCCTCTAAGCTGTGGAGTCTTGTGAGCACAAATTCTACTTTGTGAGCTGTTAGCATTAAAGCTGTGAGCATGTGATTGGGCGACTGCATACATTAGTTTGCTCTGGAGCAGTGTTCCCTCTAAGCTGAGTGAGTGTGAGCTAGCTCACATTTTTTAGCCTCCGGCTCACACATTTTTGTCTTAGCTCAGGAAGGAGGGCTCCAGAGCAAACTGATTTATGCAGCAGCCAAATGGCTTGCTCACAATTTTAATGCCAGTAGCTCACAAATGAGAATTTCTGCTCACAAGACTTGACAGCTTAGAGGGAACATTGCTCTGGAGCCCTCCTTCCTGGGCTAAGGCAAAAATGCGTGAGCCCAAAAACTGTTAGCTCACACTCACTCAGCTTAGAGGGAACACTGCCCCCCCCCCCCTGTGCTGCTGAGGTTCCCCACTGCACATCTGCGGCATCTGTTTTCCACAATCGTGCCTCTCCTCCCCCCCCCCCAGGAGGGGGGGAGTTATTTGCCCTCACTTTCTGGTCTTTGACCCTAACTGCTGGCCTAGAAGCCCCCCCACCCCCAGCTTGGTGCCCGGCCTCACCTCTACGGCTGGTACAGCCCTCTCTGGGCGTGGATGGCGCTTTCCCGACCTGTGATTTCAGCCTTGGGCTTCATGTGCCCGATGGGCAGTGTCCCCTCTAAGCTTGAGTGAGTGTGAGCCAAATCGCTCGCTCACAACTTTCATGCCAGCAGCTCACGAAGTGGAATTTTTGCTCACGGGACTCCACGGCTTAGAGGGAACATTGGCAGGGTCCCCTCTAAGCTGAGTGAGTGTGAGCCAGCTCACAGTGTTTGAGCCTCCGGCTGACACGTTTTTGTCTCCGCTCAGGGAGGAGGGCTCCGGAGCAGACTGGTTTCTGCAGCAGCCGAATGGCTGGCTCACGACTTTCATGCCGGCAGCTCACAAAGTGGAATTTTTGCTCACAAGACTCCACAGCTCAGAGGGGAGCATTGCCTAGGAGGTGTTGGAGTGCCCTGAGATTGCACCATCTGGGTCGTTGCCCCTTGTTCCCCCCCCCCGTAGGGGACTGTGACGCGTCATCCCTCTCCCCCGGTCACTGTCGCCCAAAGTTTCTCCTTCTCTTCTGTGACACACTTTCTCTGGCTGGCCCACCTGGATGTAAACTCTGGGGTCACCCTGGTGCCGGAGCCGGCCCTGTTTGCCGTCTGCCCCACCCCTGTCTGCGTGGATCGAGCCGCTGCCGACTTTGTTCTCTGGGTGCCTTCCCTTCTGTCTGGGTGGGAGGGATCCTGGGTGCCTGTCGGCTCCGGAGACGCAGACTGGTGTTGTGTCAGGTGTGATGCCGGCGGCTGGAACTGGAAATATTTGTGCCTGAGACCGAGGATTTTGGGTTGGGGGACTCCTTTGGTGTTGCTTGGTGTAGTGGTTTGGTGTAGCCAGTTTGGTGTCGTGGTTAAGTGCGCGGGGCTCTAATCTGGGAGCACCGGGTTCGATTCCCCGCTGCTCCACTTGCACCTGGCTGGATGACCTTGGGCAAGCCGTAGTTCTGACAAGAGCTGTTCTTGAAAAAGAGCCATTTCTGTTAAGAGCTCTCTCAGCCCCACCTACCTCACAGGGTGTCTGTTGTGGGGAGGGGAAGGGAAAGGAGTTTGCAAGCCGCTCTGAGACTCCGTTGGGTAGTGAAGGGCAGGGGATAAATCCAATCTCCTCCTCCTCCTCCTCTTCTTCTTCTTCGTCTTCTTCACTGCTTTTGTTGGAACTCTGGTCTTCCGGCCCCAAAAGCCGTGCTTGGTGGATAGATTTGTGCCGTGTGGTTTCGGCAACCACAGACAAACCCACAAGGGCTGAGAAAGGGGATTTGTTGGAGTTCTCTTGGCAAGTCGTAATTGTTTCTGCAACCTCAAAGCTTGTGTGTAAATGGCTGCCCTTTTGCAAAGAAGGAACTTTGGCCTCTGAGGTTTGACCGGGCTGGCCCGAAACACGGCTTGTGCCGGGTTCCGTGTGCGCTTTGGTAGAGAGGACGTGTTGCTAACCTCCAGGTGGGGCCTGGAAATCTCTTTGGAATTACACCTGATCTCCAGATTGTAGAGATCAGGTCCCCTGGAGAAAATGACTGCGTTGGAGGGTGGGCTCTCTGTGGCATTCTAGAAGAAGAAGAAGAAGAAGAGATTGGATTTATACCCCGCCCTTCACTTGGAGTCTCAGAGCGGCTGACAAACTCCTTTCCCTTCCCTTCCCCACAACAGACACCCTGTGAGGTGGGCAGGGCTGAGAGAACTCTGACACAAACTGCTCTTTTTCAAGGACAGCTGTGCCAGAGCTTGTGACTGACCCAAGGTCACACCAGCAGGTGCGACTGGAGGAGTGGGGAATCAAACCCGGTTCTCCCAGATTAGAGTCCGTGCACTTAACCACTGCACCAAACATTCTACCTTGCGGAGGTCCTACCTTTCCCCGAACTGTGCCCCCAAATCTCCAGGAATTCCCCAGCCTGGAGCTGGCAACCCTTGCTAGAGCAATCTTGGGCCTCCCGAAGCTCTTGGCACAAACAAACAGAGCTGCTCCTCCGTTGCTTACTCCTTTGCAAATGTTTGAGTGGTGCAGGCCTTGTTTCTTTAAAGGGAACGCTGAAGTCGGGCCTTGGTTTGTGCTGATAACGGCGCGGGCGACGCCTCTTGCGGTTCGGTGGCGCGGGATGGCTTGGCCGGTTCTGAAGAGGAGGGGGTGTAAGATAGGCAGATGGCCAGTAATGAGGCTCAGTGGTATCTCTGTCGGGCAAGGTGGAAAGGAAATGATTCTGGGGCGTGCCACGGGTCATAGGCAAATGGGCTGCCGAGACGGGATCTGTTAGGTGGCGACCTGTTGCGCCAGGGCCAGAGTCCACCTCCTCCGGCATCCTGTTTGCTCTGGCAATTAGCCAGAGTCCTCTAACAAGTGTCCTAGAAAGTGAGAACCATATGGTACACTGCCCCTGTTTTTGGAGGCTCAGGGTACCTGAGAGAGCCAGTTGGCTGTAGTGGTTAGGAGCGCGGACTCTAGTCTGGGAGAACTGGGTTCGATTCCCCGCGCCTCCATGTGCAGCTGCTGGTGTGACCTTGGGTCAGTCACAAGTTATTTCAGAGCTGTTCTCTCAGGAGCAGTTCTCGAAAGAGGAGAAGTAGAAGAGAGTGGATTTATACCCGCGCTTAACTACCGAAAGGAGTCTCAGAGCGGTTTACAAACCCTTTCCCTCCCCCTCCCCACAACAGACACCCTGTAAGCAGTGTTCCCTCTAAGCTGAATTAGTGAGAGCTAGCTCACAGTTTTTTAGTCTCCGGCTCACACATTTTGTCGTAGCTCAGGAAAGATGGCTCCAGAGCAAACTAATTTGTGCAGTAGCCAAATCACCTGCTCACAACTTGTAAGGCCAGCAGCTCACAAAGTAGAATTTTTGCTCACAAGAATCCACAGTTTAGAGCAGTGTTCCCTCTAAGCTGAGTTAGTGTGAGCTAGCGCACAGTTTTTCAGCCTCCGGCTCACACATTTTTTGTCTTGGCTCAGGAAGGAGGGCTCCAGAGCAAACTGATCGATGCAGTAGGCAAATCGCTCGCTCACAACTCTAATGCCAGTAACTCACAAAGGAGAATTTTTGCTCACAAGACTCCATAGCTGAGAGGGAGCATTGCCTGTGAGGCAGGTGGGGCTGAGAGAGCTCTCTCGAGGACTGCCCTTGAGAGAACAGCTCTGACGGAACTTGTGACTGACCCAAGGCCACACCAGCAGCTGCACGTGGAGGAGTGTGGTATCAAACCTGGTTCTCCCCAGATTGGAGTCCACGCTCTCTGTGCCCCACCTACCTCACAGGGTGTCTGTTGTGAGGAGAGGAAGGGAAGTAGATTGTAAGCTGCTCTGAGACTCTTTTGGGTAGTGAAGAGCGGGGTATAAATCCAATCTCTTCTTCTTCTTCTAGCTTTGCTTCCTTCGTGCTTTCACGCACTCCAAATTAGGCACTTTCCGTCCACTTTTAGTGATCGTTTGCGAGTGGGTTTTGCCGTTTCGCACACTAAAACCCAGCGGAAGCGCACGATTCGGTGTGCGTAAGAACCTCGGGGACCCTCTCTTGCCTTGGGACTGAGACCCCCTCCCCAAGGTGGCCCCTAAGGAGGCGGCCTCTGCCAGACCCTCTGTTGTGTGCCCCCCCACCCCAGGACTGGGAGGCCGGTCCCACTGCCTTCCCGATCTGGCTTGGAAGTGAGTCAGCGGGCAGTGCCTGTGTGGCCGGCCATTCTGCCTTGACTCACTTCGGAAAAATGCTTTAAAAAGTCAGAGCCGGCCAGTTTTATTTACGTGCCTCGCTTGTAGCTTGGACGGGCAGGATTAGGCCACATTTTTTTCCTGATAACGGAGCCAGATAAACCGCACACGCCTCCTCCCGGCACACAATGTCATCCTTGTGTTTCCAAATCATGTGATTCCCCCCCCTCCCCAATCCCAATTCTGCAAATCTTTTCAGGTGCAGTGGATTTGGTGTGTTGCTTCATCCCTCCCTCCTTCTACACATGTTTAGAAGATTGACAAGAGTCAGTTTGGTGTCCTGGTTAGGAGTGTGGACTCTGATCTGGGAGAACCGGGTTTTGCCTCCCCACTCTTCCACATACAGCTGCTGGGGTGACCTTGGGT